TGCAGCCGCTTACGCCGATTTTGGTCTACGTTGATTGCCGCCTCGCCTCCTCGCTGCTCGTCTCTAGGCGTCGTCCATCACGTGACCTTTCGCCTCCGCCTCCTGAAACAACTCGATCGTCGCTGCATATTCTACATCTTGAAGCTACCAGTTGCTACACTGCCCTTCCATTCGTTGCCTCGCGTCGCACCGCCATCCTTCACCTCGCGCTGCCATCCACCTCCTCGCTGCGCCATGCCTCCCCACATTTTTCGAGCTACAGTCTCAACATCCTCCCAAATAAGGTTTTTCTTTAATTTTATGCCATTTAAATTTATTGTCAATTTTGATGAAGTTCAATCTATTTATTTTTATTTTTTTTGAAATTGAGAATATTTTAGGTAAAATTGAGTTGAAATTTACATGAAATTGGTAAGTTGTTGAAGGTTAGTTGGGTTATACATAATTGTGCATTATTTGAATGATTTATTTTGGTTTTGTGATTGCCCTGTTAAGTGCATCTTCTTGAGAAAACATCTTCTTTCAATAGGAAGTTGATGTTATACTTGTCCCGAGAGAGTTTAGTGAAAGGCGTCAGTCGGAGGAGGAGCTTGGCTACTTATTTGTACGATTGGAACAAATCCAAATCTCCTTACAAAACCCTGGGTACTGTGCTTTGCAACTTTTCTCGATCTAAAATGTTATGTTTCCATGTTATTCTTTGGCTTGCTTTCAAATTTTTAGTTTTTTCTAAAAAATCATATATAAAATCAAATTCGGAGAAACATAAAGAAATTAGTACCAATCATGTAGCTTGGAAATAAAAGGCACAGTTGGTTCGGAATTGCTAATACCTTTATCAATTTATGATTTTAACAAAATATTTGCCAATATGAATTAATGTCTTGGGTTTTGTTTTTTTATGGTTTTGAGCATTAACAGTATGTTTGGCTCAAGGATTTTGGAAGGAAAAGAAAAGAAAATGTTTTTCTCTCATTTTCCTCACCGAAATGGAAGGAATTTGATTTTCCCTCCACTTGGTACATTTTGTCTCCTTATTTTCTTTTCCTTCCACTTTTTCTTTCTTTTCCCCTCTAACCAAACAAGAAAAATAGTTTTCCACTTCATTTTCTTTTCTTTTCTCTTTCAAATTCCTTGAACCAAACATAATGTAAGTATCCAATTGCTGTTTTTTTTTAATACTTTTTTTTCAGGAATTGGGACTAAAGAGTTATAGATTCAATATGGTCAAGATTGGTTGGTGTTCAACCATTGAATTACAAAGATGAGATCAACAATGCATAAGAGTGGAGATGAGATCAACAATGCATAAGAGTACAAGTGGTGCTGTAGAAATTGTGGGCTTGAAAGATAGGAACAAAAGATTAAAATAGCGGTAGCGGATTGATAACTTGAATAAAGTATGTCAATTAGTAAAAAATAAGTGAGTAACAAATTGTATCATATATATCAAGTATATCTTTATGATATTTAATTGTTTTTGTAATGACTCGTTAAGATATAACAAAAATATTTATAATTATGCTTGTGTA